TGCGGTCGTGTAATGATGTTGAGATGCTGCGGCCGTGCTGTGATGATGGATATGCTGTGGCCGTGCTGTGATGCTGCGATGCTGCCTAGCTCAAGAGGAGATGGCGGTGATGCTGCATTTGGGGGTGGGGAGGGATTCTGGCGGTGTGCCAGGACAGGAGAATCACTATGAAGGATTTTTCCCATCCCCGGGGGATGGGGAAGGACGTGACCGCGAGAGGGAAACTCCAGCTCTGGGACCTCCTGCTTTCAAGGGCGGCATGGGGGTTGCCCCTCCCTTCCCCTGGTCGATTTTGGGGCGACGGGGTTTTGCGGGGATCCCCTGCCAGTCATAGAGAAAATTTAAGGGGTTTTAGATGTCCCCACCTATTTTGATTTTCCCAGAAGTGTTAGTTTTAAACCCTTTGTGTGAAATAAGGGACCTTGAAAAGGGCCCCAGTGATTAGGGGCCACCTTTTTTTTAAAGAGGCCGTGAACCCCTAGAGGGGGCCCTGGGAAAAATGGGGGGTTTCTTAGCTGCGATGCCTACCCTGCTCGTTTTTTCAATTTTTTTAGGGGTTCATGTGAAGGTGCCAAAAATGCGCCCTTGGGGGTTTCGTGAAGTGGCCAGTTGCAGTTACTTAAAAAGAAGCAACCCTTTGGGCATTTTCACCCATAAAGCCTAAGGGGTTTTGGGGCCCAAGGTTAACGTGCGGGGGTTTCCCCCTAGCATTGGCTAGTCCCATTTCAGAAGAAGTGGGGAAAAGGAACGGATCCCGATTTTTGGGTTTTAAGGGAGAAATGACGGGTAAGGGGTTTTCCCCAAAGGCGCCTTTTAAAGCGGCCAATTTGCCGGGTGTACGGATTTTTCGCCTTGTGGAAAGTTGAGGAGGTTGAGGGGAAATAAAAATTGTATTTTTTAAAATTTTTTTGCCCCTTTGTATTGAAAATAGTTTTAAAGGGGTTTTGGGTTTAAAAATTTAAGCCCTAAAAAACAAGGGAAAAATTTTCCCAAAATTTTCTCAGATTTTTTAAAAAGGGGGAGAAAGGGGGAGGTTTTATTTTTCAGCGGGCTTGTGAGGTCTCGGGGAACCAAAATTTAACCAATAAATTTTTCCACCCCCCTTCCCTTTGGCAAACTTCTGTACCACCCCCACACCCTTGGGGGGGGTTTTTTTTTGGCGGGTCAATCAGGCGTCAGGTGTACACTTTGGTTTGTGGGGGGTGTTTGGGACCACCATAAAACCCCAAAGGGAAAGAGCATGACCCAAGGAAAACGAGCAGGGGCGCTGCTGGGGGGGCAGACCTCCTGAGCAGAGACTTCGAGCAGAGCTGCGGGGGGCGGGGTTTCGGGAAAAGGGCTGCTGAATTTTCGGGAGGGGAACTGTTGGAGGGCTTGGGGGGCCAATTCCTGGTTTTGGCGCTTACTCGTGCTGTATAGGCTGGGCCCTTTTGGGCTTATTTTTCCTGTAGTGAACTGCCCTTTTCTGGAGCTATATTGAAAGTTATTTTAAATTTTTCCGCCCAATTTGATTTTTTTTCCCCTGTCTCACTGTTTAAAGGTACCCCCCCCCATTTATTTTAAACCCCAATAAATATACCCCCTGTTCCCAAATATTTTAAATTGAACAAAGATTTAATAAAAAACGGGGTTTGATAAAATTTAATTTAAAATTCACTGCCCCCCGTTTTTTTGCTATTCCTATTTTTTAAATTTTTTATTATTTTTTAAAATATAAATGAAGGGGGGGCGGGGCCATATGTTAGTGATATTGTAGAGTTAGTGTCGTGGTGGCCCACCACTGACCTGCCCATTACCTCCCTCCCTTTCCCTTCACTCCTCCTACTCCCCCGCTTCCCCTACCTACTGATTTTCCCCCCGTTTTAACCCCATATTCCCCTAATCTTTACCCCCCCTACAGCCAAAGGGACAGGCCCAACATCTCCCCTGGTGTCCCAGGGGGGGACAAAATATACGTGTTTCCCCATTAACCACAATCTTCAACACACCCCTTAAAAGGGGGGCCTGGGGGGGGGGGGGGGGGAAGGGGGGGGGGGGGGGGTTTATGGAAAGACCGTAAATGTAGTTCCCTTTTTTTTAAAAAGAGACGAAAAGGGGGCACAAAATTACAGACCATGCCCACTGACCTGTATATTTATCAGAGCCCATGGAAAGATTATCGGGAGGAAATTTGGTTGGAGCCCCTTTGAACGGAACAAGATTATAAACGACAACCAGCACGGATTCATGGAAGGCAAATCCTTTGTCACAAACCTTCTGGAGTTTTATGATAGTTACAGAAGTGCGACACGAGAGAGAGGGGTGGGTCGATTGCATTTTCTTGGACTGCAAGAAGGCCTTCGACACAGTTCCTCACAAGAGATTAGTGCAGAAGGTAGAGGATCAGGCGCGTATAACAGGAAGGGCACTGAAATGGATCAGAGAATACCTGACAGGGAGGCAACAAGAAGTCATGGTACGGGATGAGGTATCACAGTGGGCACCTGTGACGAGCGGGGTCCCACGGGGGTCAGTCCTAGGACCAGTGCTATTTTTTATATATGTGAATGACATGATGGAAGGAATAGACTCAGAGGTGTCCCTGTTCGCAGATTTGAAGTTAATGAGGAGAATTAAATCAGATGAGGATCAGGCAGGACTTCAGAGAGACCTGGACAGGCTGGACACGTGGCCCAGCAACTGGCTTCTTGAATTCAACCCTGCCAAGTGCAAAGTCACGAAGATTGGAGAAAGGCAAAGAAGACTGCAGACAGAGTATAGGCTAGGTGCCCAAAGACTGCAAACCTCTCTCAAGGAGAAAGATCTTGGGGTGACCATAACACCGAGCACGTCTCCGGAGGCACACATCAACCAGATAACTGCTGCAGCATGTGGGCGCCTGGCAAACCTGAGAATAGCTTTCCGATACCTTAGTAAGGAATCGTTCAAGACACTGTACACTGTGTACATCAGGCCCATACTGGAGCATGCAGCACCTGTTTGGAACCCACACCTGGTCAAGCACGTCAGGAAATTAGAGAAAGTGCAAAGGTTTGCAACAAGGCTAGTTCCGGAGGTCAGGGGTATGTCCTACGAAGAATGGTTGAGGGAAATCGGACTGACGACATTGAAGGACAGCAGGGTCAGAGGAGACATGATAACGACATACAAAATACTGCGCGGAATAGATAAGGTGGACAGAGACTGGTTGTTCCAGAGAGAGGGACACAGAAACAAGGGGTCACAATTGGAAGCTGAAGACTCAGACGAGTCATAGGGATGTTAGGAAGTATTTCTTCAGAGTCGTGAGGAAGTGGAATAGCCTAGCAAGTGATGTAGTGGAGGCAGGAACCATACATAGCTTTAAGACTAGGTATGACAAAGCTCAGGAAGCAGAGAGAGAGAGAGGACCTAGTAGCGATCAGTGAAGAGGCAGGGCCAGGAGCGATCAGTGAAGAGGCAGGGCCAGGAGCTGAGTCTCGACCCCTGCAACCACAATTAGGTGAGTAGTACAATTAGGTGAGTACGAACACACACACACACACACACACACACACACACACACACACACACACACACACACACACACACACACACACACACACACACACACACACACACACACACACACAAAAAAAAAAAAAAAAAAAAAAAAACTACCTGCCTGGAGTCTACCTGGAGGGCATTCTGGGGATCGACGCCCCCGCGGCCCGGTTCACGACCAGACCTCCCGGTGGATCAGGGCCTGATGAACTAGGCTGTTACTACTAGCTGTACGTAGTCCAACGTACGAACCACAGCCCGGCTGGTCCGGCACCGGCCTTAGGTATCTGTCCAGCTCCCTCTTGAAGGCAGTCAGGGGCCTATTGGTAATTCCCCTTATGCTTGGTGGGAGGCTGTTGAACAGTCTTGGGCCCCGGGCACTTATGGTGTTTTCTCTTAGTGTACCAATGGAGCCCCTACTTTTAACTGGGGGTATTTTGCATCGCTGCCCTACTCATGTTTACACATGACAGCACAGCGAACACATTACATATGAACGCAATTCAAAATTCAAAATGCACTAGTGAGCACTGTTGTGAACACAAGATAGTACACGTGAAAACATTGCAACGTGAACAAGGAAATGAACACTGCTGAGGGAACAAGTGAAGGCAATATGAGCAATAATCAGTGTAAGTGGAAACAGTACATGAACTCAGGTGAACACAAGTGAAAACCAGGTAAACTAACAGATGGAAGCATTGAACACACTATATGAAATGAGCACATAAATGAACACGCATATGAACACAAGTGTATGCCCTGTAACAAGGAAAATATGTGAACACAATACTCAGGTGAACACAAACATAAAAAGTGGACACAAGCGATCGCATAACTGAACCCACAGTACATGTAAATAAACACACAAATGAACAGAACAAGTTAACATAAGGTAACACAGGTGCTCACATAACAAACAAGTGAAACATTACTGTTAAGGACACACTTAAGAGTTTAAACACATGAATGTTTGAGTGGAGTGAGAGGATTGTAACCCGTGGTACAGTCTTACCAGGACGTCACCTTAACCACTGCACCACGGAGGTTAGTATCTCACTCTCTGGGTTCAGATTCCCTTCTCGCTTTCGAGTAATCTTTTTCGTTCAACACAAATTTGAACCACTGCATTGTTTTCATGAGGAAACGCTAAATCCGTACGGTTTATACAGCCCATATTGAATGGGGGGGGAGAGCACTTGGACAGTGTCGAAGTGTAGGGCCACTAGCAGCACCAGACGAACCTGGACCATGGCCACGCTCCAGGAATAGAAAAACTCTCGGAGCTCATTAAAGGTGATCCAAGGTTTATGAAGTAGAATAAAAAAATTTTGAAAGCATTGAACGTATTTGGGTGATAGAAGCACTGGAACCGAGAGGTAATGAGGTTTAATACAAGGATGGGTGAGCTTGGTTCTTTGCATGTAGAGGAGTGGAGGAGAGTAAGTTATGTACTGACCACAGGTGTTTGCTTGCAGCTTGAACGTGAACGTGTGGAGGAGATGGGTGGATGTGTCATCAACATCCAGGGAACGTGGAGAGTCTTGGGTCAGCTGGCTGTCTCCAGGGCTATAGGTGAGTATCTCTTAACCACCCTCAGGTAACTTTACATCTTGTGTAAATATTTAGAAAATACACAAATTGAAGAATTAAACACTTTTTCAACATTCACATTGCCTTCATAATGGTTGAAATTAGCTACTACCACGAGTGTTCTCGGATCATGAACAACTAGCTCTGCTGGGTGCATGATCTTTGAAGGATCGCTGGTTAATGGCTTAAGGTAATATGTAATATATATATATATTTTAAAATATTTTATATATATAATATTATATATATATATATATATATATATATATATATATTTATATATATATATGTCGTGCGAATAGGCAGAACTTGCGATCTTGGCTTAAATAGCAACGTTCATCTTGCCATATAGGACAAGTGAAAATTTGTGTATGCAATAATTTCGCCAAAATCATTCTGAACCTAATAAAAAAAATATATTTCACTGTGTTTGTTTAGTATTAAATTATTGTAAACAAATCTAAAATATATTTAGTTGGGTTAGGCTAAAATAAATTGCTCTTGTTATAATAAGGTTAGGTAAGTTTTCTAAGATTCTTTTGGTGTAAAATAAAAATTTTTTACATTAACATTAATGAAAAAATATATCTTTAAACGTATAAGAGAAAATTTTAGAAAGAACTTAATTTTAAATGAGTTCTTGCTAATTGACCAGTTTTACATATTCGGCACGACATATATATATATATATGCAAAACAACCACTCTGAAAGAATAGAGAAATTCCAAGCGCTTTCGTGACTACTCACATTATCAAGGAACTATGAAAGTAAATCATCCAAGGAAGCTATATAAAGGGGTCCGGCCAGCACCTCACTATCAGATCCCACAACGGTTAAACACGTGACGCGCGGCGAGCCAACTTGGATAGGTCCTTTGCACAACTCACCCCCAAGCTATTTATTTGTCCAGTGTATTATTAAATTCCTCCCAAATTCTGTTAATTATAAATGGATCTAATTTATATAAACCAAAGGAAATATTCATATTATTGTCAAAACTGCTTTTTATGAAACAAGATTCAATTATATTCCTGTCGACCATGGACTTGCTTGATACTACTTTCTCAACTTTTTGAAAATCAATTGGATGGTTAAAATCTCTTACATGAATAAATAGAGCATTGGAATCTTGTCAGTTCTAATGCTATATTTATGTTGTTTTAAATCTTAGTTCGAGATTTTTACCAGTTTGACCGTAATAAACTTTATCGCAAATTTTACAAGGAATCTTATAGACACATCCATCAGCATTTTGGGGGGAATTCTTTATCAAAAGTTTTTTTACTGTATAAAGTTTTTTTGAAATACAACTTTAATATTTTAAAATCTTAAAAGAGAAAGGCATACAACCAAGTTTTTATGGTAAGGGAGAACCCAAATTTTTTGTTGGAATGGCTGGTTGCCCCCTTTTTGATTATAAAAAATGTTTTTAGACTTTAAAAGATTTATCAATTTCATTTTTGGGTATTTTAAATCATTACCCATTTCATAAATTTTTTGGGTTTTCCTCTTTGCCCCAGGACTACAAATTCGAAAGCTCTCAAAAACATTGATGAGAAAACGACAGTTTACTCTATTTGGCGAGAAAAAATGGACATAGGAAAAAAGTTATTTGTAGGGGGTTTTTTGTAAATTTTAAATTTGAAATTTTTATTACTTATAATTTAAAAAATTAGAAAAGGCAATGAGTTATTTCTTTTAAAATCAAAGTAAAGTTTATAGAATGGGCTAAAACTATTTAATTTTAAGAAAAATTTTTTATCTCATTTTGGGGGGTAAGACACAAAATATCTCAACATATCTGAACCCTTTGCTCTATTTGGGAGGGGTGTGTTAACAACCTTGTTTTAAAAAATTCCATGTATAGGTTACTAAGAACAGGTGAAAGAGGATTTCCCATTGCCATACCAAACTTCTGAGTGTATGGCAATGGGAAATCCTGATGGATGTGTCTATAAGATTCCTTGTAAAATTTGCGATAAAGTTTATTACGGTCAAACTGGTAAAAATCTCGAACTAAGATTAAAACAACATAAATATAGCATTAGAACTGGACAAGATTCCAATGCTCTATTTATTCATGTAAGAGATTTTAACCATCCAATTGATTTTCAAAAAGTTGAGAAAGTAGTATCAAGCAAGTCCATGGTCGACAGGAATATAATTGAATCTTGTTTCATAAAAAGCAGTTTTGACAATAATATGAATATTTCCTTTGGTTTATATAAATTAGATCCATTTATAATTAATAGAATTTGGGAAGAATTTAATAATACACTGGACAAATAATATAGCTTGGGGGTGAGTTGTGCAAAGGACCTATCCAAGTTGGCTCGCCGCGCGTCACATGTTTAACCGTTGTGGGATCTGATATGTGAGGTGCTGGCCGGACCCCTTATATAGCTTCCTTGGATGCTTCACTTTCATAGTTCCTTGATAATGTGAGTAGTCACGAAAGCGCTTGGAATTTCTCTATTCTTTCAGAGTGGTTGTTTTTGCATTATTTTGAATACCTGTTTACTGTGATCTTTTTGCATATATATATATATATATATATATATTATATTATATTATATAAATATATATATATATATATATATATATATATATATTATATATATATATATATATATAATTTATTTATTTATTTATATATAGTTATTTATATATAGTTGCTGATCCCCTGTATATGTTGTGTAGCATAGTTGAGTATCATAGTACCATCCATATGTATTACATATAGACGACCCCTTGCTAACCTTAGCGGCTTATATATATATATATATATATATATATATTATATATATATATATATATATATATATATGCAAGGAATTTGCAAGAGAAGGCGAAATATACACAAACACTGATCTCTGGCCGAAGGAGACTCGAACCTACGAACCTTGGAACAGGTACACAGTGTTGTAAGTCTTCTCCCTGAAAGCTGGCTGCCTTGGATCAACGTCTCGTGTGAGCTGGGCGCCAAGGTATTGTCCAGTGTGGTTGAAAATGGTAAAGCACTGCGTACCTTGTTCCAAATTTCGTGGTTCGAGTCTCCTTCGGCCGGAGATCATGTTTATATATATATATATATATATATATATATATATATATATATTATATATATATATATATATATATATATATATATAAGCGCTTGCATGTGCTTACATCTTCACTGGAATTGAAAAGCGTTTTATATGTTAAACACTGAGGTCACATCTCGCTCTGGGAAGGAACAACTCACCCAGTGAGGTGCTACCTAACTCAAACGCTGTAGGAGGCCTACTGGTCCATAAATTGTTATAAATAATAAAGTTTTTTCAGTGAAACTGTAAATTACAAATAAGTGAAACCTCTAATTATTTCCAGCCAATAAGAAGAAAGAAAGTGTATGGGTAATTAAAACATATTAGGCCATAATCTCAACAAAAGCATGAGAAGAAAGGAGCACTGTAGTAGGCTCGCCTGCCCTCCCCATGAGACTCCAAAATTTACCACCCATACACATACATTTGTTTAAAATATGTATAAAATTCAAGACAAATTAACAAAAAAGGCACAATACTGTGACTGGAACGATACACAAATAACCTGCACATAAAAGATAGGAGCCTACGACGACGTTTCGGTCCGACTTGGACCATTTACAAAGTCACACTAACCAGAAGTAGAGCAGGACGGGTATATATAGGCAGGAAGTGGTAGTGGAAGTAGTAGTAGTGGTGGTAGAAGTAGTGGTAGAAGTAGTAGCGGAGGTGGAAGGCAGTAGTAATGGGGAAGTAAGGAGGAGCAGCCAGTCAAATACTAAGAGAGGGGAGCACTGCAAGGGAGCTAGGTGAACACAGAGGGAGAGCGAGAACACAGAGGTGTGGGGGGGTGATAATAAAATAAATAATGAAGGAACAGAAACAAGGCAAAGGAAAGAAAGACAACCCAGAAGAGAAAAAGGAAAGAGGAAAGGGGAAGAGGGAGAAGAAGAAATTGGAGGAATCAGGTTAAGTCACGGGTGGTCTGAAGTTTGGAGCATTTTACAATGTAGTGGGAGAGAAAGGCATCTACAGAGACGAAGCCAGGACTAAGGTTCATAGAAGGAAAGTTGTGGCCTCGTGACTCAAGTCTCTTCGAACCTTTTCTTGAAGCTGAATGGGAATCTAATTCCTTGCTTCCTTTCCCTGATGTACATGTCCACCGCTCAGATACAGGTTTTTCCTTTTCCGTTTAGAGCAAACCTATGCACAGTGGCATGTACATTCACTACTTTTCCTATCATGTTTCCCCTGTCAAGAGAAGTGTTCTACTCCCTCTTTCTCTGTGCCCTCCGCATCTGTGATCCTCAGTTCCTTCCAGCAGAAATTTCCACTCTTCATAATTCGTTTTCCCGTCTTGGCTACCCTTCCCATTTCATAGACTCTGCCTTCTCACGTGCTAAACGTAATTTCTTCTCTCGCAAACTCTCTTCTCCTGGGAACTCTTCTGTCCTCTGCCATCCCTACATTTCCGGTCTTTCTAATCTCAACAATTCTCTCCGTTCCTTAGACATCAAGCTTACTCTCCGCCAGACTAACACTCTTCGCACTAATCTCGTTCATACCTCTCCTCCCTCTACTGATGTTCCTGGTGTCTACTCTATTTCTTGTTCCTCCTGTCCTCTTCAATACTTTGGAGAAACTGGTCGATCTCTTTCTGACAGACTTAGGGAGCACAAAAATAGTGTTAGGCTTGCCAACACTAACAATGCTCTTTTCTGTCAGGTCAGAGATCACAGCCATCCTATTGACTGGTCTTCTGCTAAAACTGTCTTCCCTACTTCCAACTTTAACAGTCGCCGTCTGGTTGAGTCCTCCCTTGTACAAAACTTGCCTTGTATGAATCTTAGTCCTGCCTTCCTCTTCCACTACATTGTAAAATGCTCCAAACTTCATAACACTCGTGACTTAACCTGATTCCTCCTATTTCTTCTTCTCCCTCTTCCCCTTTC